ATTTTGCTTTGTGCATGAGGATAAGCCTTGTAAGCCAAATCCAGATAACAGAACAACATGTGTTACAAGGTGATTGGAGGGATGGAGCACCTCTCCTATGGGGAAAGGCTGCGAGAACTGGGTTTGTTCAGCCTGGAGAAAGGAAGGCTTTGGGATGACCTAATTGTGGCTTTTCAGTGTCTGAAGGGAGCCTGCAAGAACATAGAGACTTTTACATGGATTAAAACTGGGTAAGTTTAGATTAGATACTAGGAAAAAAAATCTTTACTGTGAGGGTGATGAGGCACTGGAATGGTTGGTCCAGAGAAGTTGTGGGTGCTCCATCCCTGGAAGTGTTCAAGGCCAGGCTGGGTGGAGCTGTGAGCAGCTTGGTCTAGGTGTAATGTGAGATAATCTTTTGGGTTCCTTCCAAACCACACCTTTCTATGATCTGGGACTAGGAATGCTGTTTAAATAAGTTAAAAAAGCTTGGATGAAAACAGTTGGAGGGATTTCCCAGTGCTTCCAAATGATGATTTGCTATTCCCATACATTCATTGTGGTTCATTGCTTGCTTGATTATCAAACACAGCTGATGACAAAAGGAGTTGTTAACCAGGTCTCTGTTTGGGTTACACTGCAGCATCCGCTCCTCAAGTAACAGCCAGGTGAACAAGCTGACCCTGTCAGGCAGTGACACTGCCATCCTGGAGGACACTGTGGGGACAGGCAGTGGCACAGCCGAGGAGGGCGAGGTGCGCCGTGTCACGGACAACGAGAAGGATGGTGTCCAGTACAGCTACACCTTCTTCCACTTCATGCTCTTCCTCGCCTCTCTGTACATCATGATGACACTCACCAACTGGTACAGGTGAGAGCCACAGGGGAGCTGTGGGTTCTGTGTGGGTGGGAGGGTGGTGAAGGGGCTGTCCCTGTGCCAGCTGCAGCAGAGCTGTGCCTTCTCAATTTAGTGTTACTCAGTTAAGGTGAGAGAAGGCAGCATGGCACAGTCAGCAGCTCTGGTTCCAGGGCACTACTGCAGAGCTGCACGGGCAGAAGGTGTGGCTGCCATTCTTCAGCTGGAGGAGTAGCAAGAAGGATACACATGGAATTGGTTTCAGGTGGCCTCCTGCAAAGTTTGTTAGAAGCCAGCTTGCTGTTAGTGGCTTTTCAACCTGGCAAAGATGTGCAGGGACAGCCATATCTGCTGCTTATCAGAGATGGGGGGATTTCCTACATCTGTTGGAAACTCTTGGGCATACCCTCTGCTGCTGCAGCTCAGAACCACTGCTCCCAGGACATTGTATAAATTAGCAAATATTTCCTTGAACAGCATCATATGAGCATGAGCAAGCAGGTATGAAAACTGGGTTCCAAGACCCACAGCCTGTGATGGAGCCACAGGAAACTGCTGGCTTAGTTGTCTATGCTCTCACAAAGGGTCTTGATTGGAGTGCCCCAAAGGATTGCCCTCAATTCAGATCCATGAGAGGTACCAAGGAACAGGGGGAGGTGCTTTCTGTGTCTACTAATGGACTTCTTTACTTTTTAGCCCTGATGCAGATTTCAAAACCATGACAAGTAAGTGGCCAGCCGTGTGGGTGAAGATGACCTCCAGCTGGGTTTGTCTGCTTCTCTATCTCTGGACCTTAGTGGCTCCTCTTGTCCTTACTAATAGAGACTTCAGTTAAGTTCCTGCACCTTCTGAGCTTACAACAGTGGGGAACTCTTTGCTGACAGCCAAAATGTTCATTTATTGCTTTAGTTACTGTTCCTTATGTTGGTATTAAAATGCAGTTGGATAGACAGTTATGTATTGCATAATGCTTGATGCAGCACCAAAATTATCAGTTATCTTTCTATTTTAACCTTTACCAGGGTTATCTTATTACTGCATTTTTAAAATTCACTACATCTGTGTTGTCAAAGCACAAAATAAATTATCTATTCTGTCCAAAAGCCACAACCTTCTACTGAATAGAAGTTAACATTTAGTTAAATATGAAGTAATATATTTTAAAGAGCAATTATAATCAGCATAATGCACTACTCTGCTCATGCTTCAGTTTCTGGAAGTGTAAGCCATGCTGCTTGATTTTTACATTCCACTGCTAAAGTTTATTTACAGGAAAAGTTTATTTAAATTACTTAACTTTGTGTTGTGGCAAAAAAGCACCCTTACTCCTCACCAAAAGAACAACTCTGAAGTTGAAAAACTGGTTAACAATTCTTTTAAGACAAACTTGCCCTTTTTAAGAGGCAATTTCTATGGTAACTTCTTTTTTAGAATGTTTGCCAAATAGAGTGGTAAGTGTATGAGTAGCTTAATGAACTTTATGATTATGTTGGAAAATAGAGCTTATTGATTGATTGGTTTCAGTTGTCCAATATGCTTAATAAAAGTAACACACATGGAATTATTATTATTATTGGCTCTAAGGCATTTGCACTGTAAACTCATTTGAATAAAGCAAACTAACTACTGAAAGTGGCCCAGCTCTGTTGAAGTGTTAAGAAGCAGCAGTTCCTTCTCCAGTGGAAAATGCCACATGCAGTGTCCAGGTGGATGTGACTGGTTGTTTTATCTGTGCAGTAAATACTAAGTGACAGATTTTTTTGAAACGAACAGTATTTTGTGTGAGTCTGTGAGTGTCAAATCCTGTTCCTTGAAGTTGCTCAGATCAGGTAAACTTTTGTTTCCAGCAGAAAGCAAAACCTTTTGCTAATGCAGTGCTGTGGTGATTATGTGTAAATGTGGAACTTGTGTGTTGTTACTGACATTTACAATAAAATATCCCAACATGACACAAGACAAACATATTGAAAATATCAAATGAGCAGCTGTTACAATGTGTTTAATCACCCAGTCATGCATCATAAACTTACACATTTTTGACAACTTTGTATTATAAAATGCAATATAAAAATAAATTTTATCAAAATAAGATGTACACTTAATCACCCAACACCTCTAGGCTCACATATAACAGAAAGCAAAATTAATATTTGTATAAGACAATGATTAATTCAAGCCAAAATGGTATAAATGTAACAAAATGATACTTAAAGACATTTAATGATACAAGATTGAACAAAAACGATACTTCAGCCAGTTCCTGAAAATACCTCAGGGCTCATAACATCCATTTACAAGAGTATAAATTCAAGTACTTGTATGTACAGTTTGCAGCTACCTTTTGTGCCATCTAATGCCAATGCAGTTCAAGTATCCTTCCTTATTATCTGTTGGATTTGGCAGGGATGGCTTATGTACTGGAAAAGGCATATATAAGCATGGAAAACAAAGTTATTTCAAGTGGGAAGAAGGAAAACATTGGTTGTAGTGCTGTAAAAACAAAAAACCAAACAACCCCCAAGCAAAAAAATACACCCCTCCTATAAGCTTTTCCTAGCTGTTCTCTTATCTTGCAGATAAGGAGATCCTATACATGACACAAATGTTTAATTTTCCAAACATGAGAAATTCTGGGAACAAACTGATGTCTTTGCTACTAAGTGCTAAAGCTCAAAGAACATTCTCAGCTCTGCAGCCAGGCACACTTAAACCAGAGCTGTGCTTGCTGTAGGACATGCCAAGCACTGCTCTGAGAGACTTCAGGGTTAGAGACACAGCTCAGTGAAGCTGCAAATCCTGCCTCAGTTCTAAAGCCAAGGAACAGCAAATCAGAAATAACAGATGCCTGATAAAGCCTGGCTTAATTCAGCATCCTGACATCCACTGCCCAGAAGCCAGCTTCAAGAAAAAGAAGTTCTGGAAGCACAAGACTGGCACTTTTCAGCATTGGCAGGTGTGGTGGTTTAACCCCAGCCAGCACCATGGCTGCTCAGTCACACAGGGCCACACCAATTCCTATGAAGAAAATTCTACCCTAGCACCACCCTCGAACATCATTTATTATGTTTAAATCATATTCTTTATTCCTAGTGAGCAGAGGAAAGAAGAGGGTGAGGTGGATCTATTCTGCCTACTATTTAAGGCATGCAAGAAAATATAAAAGCCTGAAAAAGGGTGAGTTTAGTAGAGGTTCCTCAGCCTTCTGCTGAGCACCACTAGGTTTATTTCTCTTTGAAGGACACTAAACTGAATTTTGAATATCCATCCTCCCTCTCTAACAGTTACAAAAGGGGATGAAAGGAACTGTTCCTACAATCACTACAGCCCCACTTCTAACCCTGCAACACAATTAAGCAATTATCAGTGAGGCCTTAATCTCTAGGTAAATTGATCCATTCTGTTTTTTTCAGTGGTACATTGTACAGGAATTAAGAGGAAGTAAAACAACAGAGGCATCACTCTCTTCTAGCATTCAGCAGTGTGGGCAGCCACTGATCTGTCCAAGTCCTGGTGCTGTGTGCTACTGGCTTCTAGGTGGCAAAAAACTGAATTAATTTCTGCAAAACAGAGCATATTCTGGTCACAAAGGAGGAGCTGCCTAGCAGTACTCTTTTACCTTAAGCAGATGAAAAGGGTAGTTGGTTTATTCCCTGCACTAAAGGTAACAGTTACCAAAGGGGAGTTAAAATTGACTTCTAAAGGTAAGAAAAATGAGATGCTTTCACTGAGGAAAATTAATCTCTTCCCACCTTTAATCTACAACTGTTCCTGTGATGAGTTTTCTGCTCCTATAGATTCTGAGCTGCCACACAGAAAAGAAAAAAAGCTTCATGGTTTTACCCTTTTCATAACCTAGTCTCTTTCTACAATGTCAGGATGACAGGTATGGCATTTGCCACCCTTTAATTCCAGGATGAGGTCTGCTGCCAGGTCAGGAAGTCATTACAGAAGTCTCCTTTTGGCAGTGCAGTCATGCTGCAAGGGGGCTAAGAGGAAAAAAGACATCCAAAACAGTTTGGCACTTTGAAAAATGAATGTCTGAGATCCTCAAGATAATTTAGTTTTATATTTACAGAAACGTAACTGGTTTGGCACTAAATCAAGATTTCATCCAGAGAAAGTGCTCTAGTGATAAGTTCCCAATTAGAAGGGATGGTCTTTTCCACCAAAGAGTGAATTATTTCACTTTGAAGTAACAGACTGTGCTTTCCTCGTCCTCGTGAGGTTTCCTATGTCCACACCATTATAGTGCAGAAAAATGTGTGCAAAGAGTGTGCTCAGAGTTAAGTCAAGACCATTAAATAAAATGAACTTGGGGAGTGGGAACAGCTTATTCAGACACAGGTATCTTACCTGGTTTGACATCAATGTTAGTTCTGTCTCTAGACAAAGACCTAGAAGCACAGGCATACAAGTTATGGGTAAATATCACAGAGATGATTCAAGTCTAAGTCCATACAGGAACATGACAATCAAAGACAAAAGAGGTCAACAAAGTTAAAAACCAAGTTGTAACATTTCACAGAAGAGCTGACAAGCACAGTGAACAAAATGCTACAATATCAGGAAATTTAAAAATGTGCTTTTAAAAAGCCTGTATGCATTTGGTTTCACAGACTTAAAACTCAAATTTAGCCCAAAGTAACAAGCTAAAGCAGCACCTTGCTGTCCTACATGAAGTATTGCCTTCTATACATCACATGCCAACTGCTACAAAACCTCCTCACACATCCTGGGTATGAGGTACTTACCCAATTCCTATCTCAAGCAGAAAAGAACTGTCAATGTGGGGAAGTGGCTGACACAGCTTTCTTTTATTTGGTCCTGAACCTCATTATTTGGGGCTGTTGTCCAATCAAAAGCCTTATTCAATGATCTGAAAAAGGTGCTGTTTTCTGAAAATGAAGATTGCATCTGCTCTATAAACCTTGGTATAGATGTTATGGTAGTTGATCCATCAGTCACATTTCCTCCAACTGTGAAGAAGTTTAAGAGATGATCTCCATACATGAGTATTCATGAGTAAATTTTGTTCTGTATAAATTTGAAAGAAATATTCACTGAGATATTTCAGAAACACCAACTCACAATCTGAACCACATGACAGAGGACAGGCCAAATTAGACTTCTATGGTTTTAAGCAATCTTCACTACAGAATTATATTTTGCAGGGTTCAAAAGCCATTTTCTTTCTTTCACCAGTCTTTCATTACTGGTGTTTGCAGAAGGGGAAGAGACCAGATAATCACAAAGCTCATAAATCATCCTCACTTTTCACCTGTGTGGGGTGAGGACAAGAGACTGTCAAGCTTACCTATCTGCAATAATTTTTTTCCCTTTATCATTAGAAAGAAGAGGCCAGTTTGCACCATTCACACAGAGGTTGATGAGCCTCAAGTCTTCTAGAAAACTTGTGCTCTTTGCTTTTACCCTCCCCGAACTCTGCCCTGCCCCCATTGTGCCCTCTCCAGCTTCCTTTGGTTCTACAGTGTAAAGTGCCTCAGCAGTCTGTCCCCAAACTGCAGGTTTAGGAGTAAGGCAGAGTTCACAACATCACCTAGCAGAGCAGATCTTAACTGTGCTGGAAACAACTTCCCTCCTGTGGTTTGTCAGTAACAGTAATAGAGCTGAGGTTTCATCCCTCGCAGGGAATCATCACACTGCTTTTCATCAGCATCCCCACTCACTAGCAGGTCGTGGGGAGAGCTGTCACAGGGCAGCACCAGCTCTGAGAAATCATGCAGGAAATCCTCTTCAGAGGCCAGCAGCAGCTCGTTCCAGGCAGAGATGTCCAGCTTGCCTGCAGTACCACCATACTCCTCAGGAAGGATCACCGGAGGAATGTTTTGGTGAAGGGAATTCAGATCACAGCCATGAAGAAAAAACTGAAGGAGAAAGCAAAAGAGCTTTAAAGTGCACATCAAACACTTTGCAGCAAACTACTGGAACACTCAGCTAACAAGCTTATTCTGAGCTAAAGAATAACTTTAAGAAGTGATGTGTTCATGGGCAAGGGGCAGCACAGAACAGTGGGCAGGTACAGTGAGGCACACCAGTGAGAGAAGTCCTGAGACAAAATCCACACCTTGTGCAGATTAAATCCCAGCAAGAGAGACTGGACATGTGCCTGGGCTCAGCTTCCAGATTCAGTTCATCCCCAAGTTTGCTCATGGGATTTAAAGTACTTATCCTTGTGAGCAAAAAAATTCATCCTTGGCAACCACAGTCCAGTGGAGAGGACACTTGTGCCACACAGGACCCTTGGCTAAGGGAAAAGAGCAAGGAAGGGGCAACACAGTGCTCCTGTGACACCACCTCATGAACTAAGTGCTACTGGGCCAAATGATCCAACCACAGAGATAATGTCCTGGATGCAGAGCATATGTACTAAAGTTCCACATTAATATTTTGCCAGTATTGAGTTCCTCAAAGTTTCTGTCTCACAGAATTTTACCAACAGGCATATTTTTTAAAATTTAAAACAGAAAATAAAACGGCACCAACATTTTTCTAACTGTCAAGTATTATAATTTTTCTTTTTTTTTAACTTAAGAGTGGCCAAGCTAGGAACTTAAAAACATTAATATTAATGTTAAAATCACATAGATCCTTACCCTGTTTGCAATCTTTTCCTTCAGAAAAGGCTTGATGATTGCAAATATTCCTTTAAATATACGAGGCTCATTTATTATGTTAACAGCCTTTATTCGAATGGGGAATCCATCCTGAAGGGTAAAGAAGATTTTTATAATGCAGTTTAAAAAACATTTGTCATCTTTCTCTTTTTAAAATTTTCTGAGACTGACTGCCAGCACAACCCACTGGCTCCCTAACTTTAATCTGAGGTACCAACATAAACCAATACAGGAGAAATTCAACTTCTCATGGGATTTTTGCTGCAGAAATTTATTTGCAGAAATATTTTTCATAGGCAAAAGCTCATGATCACCACTTAAGAACTCAGTGAGGTTTCTTTCCTTATAACCAGCTCTACGTATATCAGTCAGTGCTTGCAGTGAAAAGCAGCCAAGAGGCACTGCTGGAATATTTTTCTCCATAGGAACATCAGTGAATTACCTCATCTTTACAGGAGGTAAAGATAAGGTTGATGCAACAGATTTATATTCCACCATCCTTTATGTCCTCCCCAAGTCCAGCTATCGTTTTGTGAATGTATTCTCATGGCTTTATGTACAAGTTAAATATGGGCTTACAGTTAAATGACACATTTAAATCATAATGTAAAGGAGTGAGTTCTTATAAAGGCCTTCCTTAACTCAGCAGCCTCATCTCCTACGCTCTCCTGACTCACCCCATCCTTCCTGATCCCACGGATACAATGAAGGATGTAACCAGCTCAGGCCACAACAAAAGCAATGATGGAATGAACCCATTCAAGAGAAGTTTACTCATCTCACTCCTCCAGGCTGTATCAACATCCAATGAAATCATCAGACCTTTGGCCACTTTGGCCAGGCTACTCCTGAGTCCTTTCCCCTTCCTGTGTTTATACCCTTGCTCTAACTTGCTTTTCAACACTTCCCCTCCACACATCCAGGCACAGCTGTCTTCATTATATCTCTTGTGCTAGAGAAGCCTCTGCCCTCAGGGCATGGATCGAAATCCTCCTCAAATCCCACCCATTCAAAAGTCCTTCTAACATTTTTGCAGCAGCAGCACCTGAGCTGGAGCCTGCACTTGCTCCATGGCTGGCTCCATCTCAGCTGACAGGAACCATTTAAACACCAGGCCATTTCCTCTCTGTCTCATCCCTAACTGTAATTCTCTGCTCTCTTTCTTCATTACCACTACCCAGCAGAACTGCTTTTGTCTGTTCCAACTCAAAGTCTGCATTTCTAATGCAAATTTAGTTTTAGGTATGCAAAAGTCAAAAAAAGGGACAAGTGAGGTAAGTTGGCTGTTAGGGTGTGAGAAACTGGCTGGGCAGAGACTTGTTTAACTCTGTTAGTGAAAGCCAAGATGATGACATTTGTGGTGACATAGTCAAGAACTCTACACACAGCAGCAGTTATTTACAATGCACAAGCTTATTTTCCCACCAGTTCAGGTCTTACCTGAAGAATTCCAATCACTTTTTTGGCTACAAAAGGACCAAAATGAGACGCCTTAGATAAGCTGACTCCTTTGTAGTCTGCCAGGATTACAATTCCATTCACCTGGGTCTCTTCGGACTGAATGAGTTTTTCTAAGGTTAAGTATATGGCACGAATGTTCTCAGTAATCGGATAATTACTGGGTGTCCACCTGTCTGAGGTTACAAGACAGGGATGGTAAGTTGGAGAGTGAAGATAAGCTAACAATACACATTCCAAAAAACTGATTTTCTGTTCTCCTGGACTCAAAAGTTACTCTGTATAGCCACAGTTCTAGTTCAGAGCAGCCTTTCTTAAGCACGAGGTAAATGGCAACTCATGTTTACTTCAGGGAGCAAAGGCAATGGTTTTAAGAACCCCGTTCTCCACCCAGCACAGCTCATTAAAAGCAGCTTCAGCTCAGAAAGAAGGCAGGTAAATGGAAAAGAGGAGAATGAATGGAGAGAAATTTACAGCAAGCCTGGCAGCACCAAAAGCACATGAAAAACTCTGATTATTTACACAGGAGTCAGAGCTATAGGTTTCTCTCTCTGCTTATTGTAAAAACATTATGAGCTTCTAAGGGTAGGCCAGCAGCCCTATTTCAATTTGAGTGACTGCATAATAATTTTCCTTGAGAAATTATATTTCCTTGAAAATTTTCATCGACCCACCTCACTGCATTTTCATTTTGCCATGACTGCAGTTACTGCTGACACAGGAAAAGGAACTGGAATGATGCTGGCTAAGGACCAGCATGTCCCTTCCCCAGTCAGCTTTTCAAATTTGAGAGAGCCCACACACTCTGTGCAAGTCAGCACTGCTCAGAGCAGAGCAGGGACAGGCTTTTGGCCCAGACACACCTCGAGGACAGGGCACAGACACACTCAGGGCTGGGTACCTGGGCGGATGCACACGACGTGACGTCCCTGCGGGTCCCGGTGGGGCAGCACAGTGACAAAGCCTGACTCCAGGACAGGCTTTATTGCAGATGGCTTCAGGTTACTGAACACCTCTGGCCAGGTCCTCCTGCAGGTGTGGTAGTTCACCAGGAGCTGAAGAGCTCGATCGTAATCAAACTTCCTGGCTCGGAGGAACCTCAGCAAAAAAGCATCGTCCAGGCAGGTGCCCAGGGAGGGATAGTCCTTGCACACCATGTCCCTGAGGGCCTGCACGTCACGGAGCCTCCACTCAGGCTTCTCCTGCAGCTCCTCCCGGGCTTTGGTAACAAGATCAGGAGACAGGGTACACACATACTTTGGCCGGTCTGGCAGGAGCTCACTGTCTGATGGAGACCCTGCTGACGGACTTGTCCTGGTGCAGTCGCTGTCTCCTGACATAATGCTGCAGGAATCTGTCAAAAAACAAGTGCTGCACATGACAAACAAACCCACAGACTTAAAACCGCAGTGACTGTTCACATATTTATTATCTTCTGTATCCCTGTTTCCTAACTGAAGATGCTGCCTTTCCAAGAACCAGCACCACAGTCAAGGCACAAGGTTCATTTTAATTCTCCTATCAGGATTAGAAAGTGCAAGTTACCCTAATCTCTTTATCCTACCTAGCAGGTAGAGTGCTACCTTGGATGAAACCTAACCAATTAAAGTTAAAATACAGAATGACACGGCTTCACTGCAAAACACAGAATTTAATTTGCTTTAACATTTACTCCCTATGCCCAGTTGAAAACTAAAGCAAAGCAAACATCCCAGTTTGTCATGATTCTCACACTTGAATTACACCCTTTTCTGAGAAGCTCTCCCATCTAAGCCCAGACAGCCAGTGTTTTCCTTAACTTCTCTGGCAAACACATGCACTTACCAACACCTCTGCCCAGGGCAATGTTTTGAGCCATTCAGGAGGAGCAGCACTCAGGAATACAAGAAATGGCTGCAGTGCACAGACTGGATGAGCATGTAAGAAATTGCAGACTCTTATGCCAGCACTGCATGGATATTGAGGCTAGTTTAATCTAGTTTTAACTTTTCAGTGTGATGTCAGTATGTCTGATCTGTGAGCTGGAATTCCAAATCCAGTCACAAGTGGACAGAGATGAGTAAAAATTAGAAAATCACGAGCCTGCCATAATTCCTCCAGCTGGACCCGGGGCTGGCAGTGAAACACGGCTTTATTTTGCTGAGCTGTTGGCACTCAGTCACCCACAGCACATCACACGGAACTGGTGCCACAGGGACACTTGTCACCATAGCCGCCCTCCTCCTGCACTGACAGAGCCCTCAGTGCCCCGCTCCCAGCTCCCCTTCCCCAGCTGCTCGGACGGCACGGGCACCGCTCCCAGGGAGCGATGTACCCCGGGGTACAGCCAACCCTGCCGGAGCGGCCAGGAGGCTGCCAGGGACCGCCAGGTCCCGCAAAGCTCCCGGGCCCGCACCCACCCGTACCGGAGCTCCGGGCCCGCAGCCCGCCCGTACCGGAGATCTCGGCCCCGCAGCCCCCCGGCCCACAGCCCGCCCTTATCGCAGCCCCCGGGCCCGCAGCCCGCGCGTACCGGAGCTCCCGGCCCACAGCCCGCCTGTACCGGATCTCCCAGACTCCACACCCGCCCGTACCGGAGCTCCTGGGGCCCGCACCCACCCGTACCGCAGCTCTCGGCCCCGCACCCACCCGTACCGGAGCTCCCGGCCCTGCAGCTGCCGGCCCCACACCCGCCCGTACCGGAGCTCCTGGGGCCCGCAGCCCATCCGTACCGCACCTCCCGGCCCCGCAGCCTGCCTGTACCGGAGTTTCCAGACTCCGCACCCGCCCGTACCGCAGCTCCCGGCCCCGCACCCGCCCGTACCGCAGCTCCCGGCCCCGCACCCGCCCGTACCGCAGCTCCCGCGGAGCAGCCGCGTCCCGACCCCGCCGCCCCGGAACGGCCCCGGCCGCTCGGAAATGACGCGCGGGCCGCGCCTGCGCCATGGCCCCGGGGCGGGCCCGAGAGGGCCCAGAGTGACCGGCGGGGGTGGCGGCGGTGCGGTTCGGCCCGGGCCCGGGCCCGAAATCCGGGCTGCCTCTGTGTTTGGCAGCTGCTCCAGGGAGCGAGGGGGAGGCCCGGGGACGCTCCCCGAAGGGACATCTGTCCTTCAGTGCCACCTCATCCTCTGCGACAATGGCAGCCAATACCTCCAGCCGTGAGCCACGAAGGCAGAATTTTATATATATAACACATACATGTATATATACGTATACACGTATATACATATACGTGTATAGATATATATTACACATATGTATACACTTATATGCATATATCTACACACAAATATATATGTGTAAATAATACATATATTTTATAAACCACATATTATAAATACATTTTACACTTCTAAACTACATTTTATATGTATAGAATGTATTAAGAATGTATTATGTATGAAATACACTTTTATTATGTATATATATGTATATATATACATATGTATGTGTACATATACATTTAAATACACTTGCATGTACACTTACATGTACATATGGATATATGTATGTTATGTGAGTATATAATATATAATATTGTTATATAATATATGTAATTATATAACACAGCAAGTATATTGACGTATATAATCTATAGATTATATACTAATTCTATCTAAATAATCACATATATAAAAATGCATTTTATTTTTAGATGTATACATATATACATACATATACACATATATACATACATATATACATATATACATACACACACACACACATATATATATATGAATACATATATACAAACCAAATATATCCTATATATTTTCTATACAAATACGTATCCCAGGGCCTGTCCCTGGCAGCCTGAGCTGCTGTGGGATCACTGACCAGAGCTAGGGCAGCCTCAGTGCAGGCTCCAGGCAAGCACAGCTGGATGGAAACAGGGCCCGAGAGATGTCCTGGCTGTATCCTGGATTTAAACCACAACAGAAGGACTAAATATTAATAAAGGAGAATTTTGGGGTAGTTTGGCTTTGGATTGGTTTTTGACAGGACAGAAAACCATATTATCCCACAGGAGGTGATGCCTGGCCTGTCTGCATGGAATTTGTAATAAAAAGCTGGTCCCTCCCAGGTTTGCTGCATTACAAAGGGCTCACGGGGAGCGCTGGGGAGGGGAATGCCACGTTTAACCCCAGAGCTGAAGGGACAGAGAGGCTGGTTGTAAAGGGCTCAGCATCCTGCGGGGTGGTTTCTGTCTCCTCTCTCGCTGCAGGCCGCGTTCTCAGCCAGGAGAGGGAGTCGAGGATAGCTGGACAAAGAGTGGGAGCCCCAGGAGCCCACAGTGGGATTAGGGCCCTTCTGCAGTTTACAAGGTTCCGCTCTCATTTGTTTCTCTGCCAAGGGGTCACCCTTCAAAAGCAGAAAATGTTTCAGTGGCGCTGTACCTGGTGAGAGAGATGCCAGCATGGAAACAAATGGAGTGTGTCACCGGTGTCACCTGCACAGAGCTGTTCCAGGGAAGGGGAACACATCCATTCCAGCCTGTGCTCATGGTGAAAACCCAGACTGTGACCGTGTTCACAGGAGTCCGAGGATGAGGGATGAGACAAGGATCTGACTCCCTGTTTCAGAAGGCTTGATTTATAATTTTATTATATATATTATATTAAAACTATACTAAAAGAATAGAAGAAAGAATTTCATCAGAAGGCTAGCTAAGAATAGAAAAAGAAAGAATGATAACAAAGGCTTGTGTCTCAGACAGAGAGTCTGAGCCAGCTGACTGTGATTGGCCATTAATTAGAAACAACCACATGAGACCAATCACAGATGCACCTGTTGCCTTCCACAGCAGCAGATAACCATTGTTTATATTTTGTTCCTGAGGCCTCCAGCTTCTCAGGACAAAAAGTCCTAAGGAAAGGATTTTCCATAAAATGTGTCTGTGACACCAGATCTGGGTGCAACCTGGCAAGCTGGGTCCAGTTTGGATCTGAGTAAACTGGACCTCTTTGTGATGTTGCTCTGTGCCCTTTCCAGCAGATTTGTGGGATAAATGAGGTTGGAAGGGACCTCAGGAGGACAAGAGATTTTGCATTGCTCCCATTTGCATTCATACAGCTCCTGGGCACAGAGACCTGCTCCTCCTGCACAGAGACATGACAGAAGCAGCCAGGTGGGACCTGGAGTCCCAGGGGTGTGCTGTGGACATGGACCTATGGCCTTCCAGCTGAAGGGATGACAGAATTACCTGGATCACCTGATCCACCTAATTGCTGATCTGAGAAAAGGCTTCAAAACACCAAACAGCTGGGAAGTACTGGAGCTGCAAACAGGAATTTATGCTAAAGGTTGCAAAATCTGCTTGGAATTTGCACCTCTCAAACAAGGGAGGAAAATTCATCTGGGAGGTGACAGTTCCAGTCCTGACTGGTTAATGGCTGCTGCGACAGGGTGTTAGGAGTGAGCAGGGATGTTTGAAAGGAGTAGTAACATGTGAATGAAGTTCTGTTTTGGGGAACAAGGAGGGCAGGAAATAAGGGAGAATCAGTAACAATCAATTGAGAGATATGGGCAATGAAATTAGGAGCAAGAGCTTTAGACAGGTGAGAGAGAATGATGAAGGAAAGTAGAAATGAGGATACTGCACAGTGAGGATGAGCTGGGAGCGGAATATAATCTGGGGATTGCCCCAAATGAAGTGACTGCCTTACCTCAGGTTTTTTATGTGGAGAATGTTGAACTCATGGGGAGCAGTGGGTGGTGAATGGAAGTGAGGGAGTTCAAGCATCAAGCCAAGTTGTTGGGGGAGTTTGAAAATGCTGGCACAGGAAATGACAGGAACTGTAGCAAGAGCTTCTGTAATTTAATCTTCCTGGTACTGGCATCCTGTGACTAGAAACCAGTAAAGGCAGAACCTGTCTATAAGGAAGTAAAAGCTAAAAACTGAAAACAAACATCTAGGAACTGACAGTCCCAGGAGATGTGATAGCTGTAGCCTGAATTTAAATTCTCCTTCCTAGGAAGGAGAGTTTTGTCCTTGTCCACCGCATCAGAAGGGAGAAGGACATGCTGCACCACATGCCCACAACTCTCCCCAGCTGAGAGAGAGGAGATGAACCCCACCAACTCTGCCACTCCATCAGGTCCAAACCTGCATTCTTTGCAGGAGTTTTCATAAGGAATTGTGTTGTGACCTTGGGAACCACACCTGGAGCCCCGTGGGGAATCCAGCCCTTCTCATGTTCTTCTCTCCTATCACATATGATTCATGCCTTTCTTAGCTCTCTGGGTGCTCCCATGCTCTGCCGTTGTGTTATAAATGAGTGGCTGTTGGTGTTGGTTGATATTTAATGAAGTCCATGTAATACCCTTCACTTATTTACTTATCCTATCCCAGTCTTAATACCCAGCCTGGGAAAGTTATCTTGGCTTCTTTAAGCTTTTCCACCATTAGCAATAAACGTTTTACAGTCTTGGCAAGCTGAGGCTGAAAAGCGAGAGCATAACTTCAAACAGCACTGCTCACAGAGAAGGCTTTAAACTGATATTAAATCACTAAACTGTGCAAACCTAACAGTCTGTCATAAAGATAATCTGGGAGCAGTTCAGTCCAGGAGGGGCTCTGGTCCTTGGGTTGCAGGTGGAACATCTGGGCCCCACAAACGACAGAACATTTTTGGGTAACAGCAGAGCAGAGAGCCACTCGTGCTGCAGGGCTGGACAAGGTCTGTCTGAGTGCCAGGGCTCCCATCTCAAACCTGAGCTGCTCCTCCTGCACCAGTGCAGCAGAATGGGAAGGGCTGGAGGGGGGCAGCAGTCCCTACAAATCACTCCAGGCAGGGCTGTGCCAGGCTCCAGACATGGTGCCTGCCTGTGATACAATCCTCTGCGCTCAGAGGATGGGGTGACTAAGAAAATATCCCCTAAATAACCATAAATATTCCACTCAAAGCCTGGAAGTGTGCATCCTCCAGCACAGGCTTCCTTGCCTGCTGTCACCCTGCGTGTGGTGGCGTGAAGAGGGGATCTCACAGATGGGAGCCTCAGCTGGGAGCAGGACCCACTGGGCTGCAGGGGACCCTCCCCAGGCACAGATGGCACACCAGACCCACACACTCAGCTATGGAAACAGGAACTGATGTGCAAATGAACACAAATCTGCTGCCAAAGCAGCTGCACACAGGCAGGCAGCACCACCCAGGCACACAAAGCTGTGCTAAGGTGCTGACAGACCCCCAGAACCCCAGTGTGTGGTGGGACACACATACACACAGCCTAACCCAGCCCAGGCTTTGAGGGAACACTTCCCCTCTCCTTGGCTCCACCAGCCTCAAGATGAGCAGTGTTTTTGCAAAAGCTTGGTGAGGAATGTGCTTGGCAGGACCTCTGAATGTTTTAAATATTACAGGATTTCTGCAGTTTAATTTTATAGAATCACAGAATAACTTAGGTTGGAAGGAACCTTTAAAGGTCATCTAGTCCAACGCCCAGTTTGCTCTGAGCTGAGCATTTCCTTTCACTGCTTTTCATCATGGAGAATGCTTTTTGGAAGGAGAGCAGCTGTCTCTGAGGCAGGATGGGTCCCTGGCAGGATTAACCCTTGAAAGGAGCTATGATGGGGCTGCCCTGGGTCCCTGGCAGGATTAACCCTTGAGAGGGGCTGTGATGGGGCTGCCCTGGGTCCCTGGCAGTGCTCCTTGCAGCCTCTCCATGGCACAGGCTGCAGCTGTCAGAAGCACTCAGGTTTGCTCCTGCAAAAAACTAGTTGGTAAATGGTGGAGGAATCCTTCCAGGGGCAGAATGAGGTCGGACTGGGTGCTCCAGCTCTTGGGGCTTTCATCCTGGGGTTCATCAGAAGCCCATAAATCAGTGGGAAGGAGTGAAGCAGGGCTGGGTTTTAGGGTAACCCCTGAGTGATATCTTTGCACATCTTTGGGGTGAAG